CTCAGAGCACGCACTCTTAACCAACTGAGCCACTCAGCCGGCCCCCTCCTCTCCAACTTCTTAAGTCTGATTTTTCTGGCTTCTGTTAATGGAATCTGATAAATAGAAGCCTATTTAACGTGTTCAAAATATTCAGACTTTTAGAAACAATGTTGAGAAATTTTGACTTGGGAATGAATATCCCCTTGCAAATGTAGATTTCAGATCTGTGGTAGAAAATATACTTTGTCATCTGCCCCCATTACCCAAAGACACATGGATTTTGGTGGGACGTTGACACTACCCTTTAAGTCACCAGTATGCTTTTGACACAGTTAACCGTTTGTTGAGGACCTACTATCTGCCATGACCACACTGAGAGGCAGGTATCATCTACATTTTACAGATGAGGAAATTAAAGTGTAACGAATGGAAGTGACTCTCCCAAGGCCACACAGCTAGAGAGTGCAGAGGCAAAACTAAACCCTTATCTGACTCCAAAGCCCAGGTCCTTTTCCCGCTACACCATACTGCCTGTCTTAAAAAAACGATTAGCCTTGGCTTTCTCCCTTTGATTAAGACAATGCTAAAGCCAGCCCACACTAATCGGAATTTCCAAGGAATAAAGTTCCACAATCTCACACAATGTTTAACTGACCTCATGATCAGGAAATTGTTCACTTATGTAATGAATATCCCTTCAAACGACATGGAAATTCATTTCCTCTTGACTGGGTTTTTCACTCAGGGCTGTCATTTGGCAGCTTTCCAGATAATCAGAACAGCCCTCCAGATACTATTCTTACAGTCCAGGAGGTCTTGGACTTGGCCTCTGCCTGTGAGTGTTCTCACTGGCTCCTTTGCACCACCCTTCCACCCTCATCCCCCACCTCCACCCCGGAGAATGCTGAGTTGGGCAAGTCTCTTGGGGAGTGAGAAAGTGACACTTGAGAACATATTGGTTTATTATTACACTCAGAGGAGTACAATTAACTACACGAGCTGCCTCAAATTGCCAAGGGGAAGATGGCACTGCCTTTCTCATCTCGCCTGCCTTTTTCTTGGTTTCTACTTCATCTCCATTTCCGAAGCTGTTGAATCATTTCGTTGAAGGGTACATGTGTTACTCAGGGAAGTCCCCTGCTCCCCCAAATTCCAGTGGCCATTGTTTCTGAATCGGTGTTCTGTTTTTTAAAATCATTGTACTCATATTCTCATTCTGGTTCCTTTGAGGCCGAAGTGAGAAACTAGTGTAAATTCTGGTGTTGATGACTAATCTTTGAATGTGTTTCTCTTCCCATAAAATATGCTTGCTTTTTAATGAAGACAGTCAGTTCCTTTGACCAAGGGAGTAAGGTCTTCACAGTACTATCAGGTACCTTTTGTGGGAGATGTCAACCCATCCTCTTGCATTCCATTGAGTAAATCCCAGAAATGCATCCAAGTGAAAGGCTGCAAAAAGCATCTTCTCTTTGTACTTCTGGTGTGACTGGCCTTTCTCCTGAGCAACCCACACAGCATTTGGTCAAATATCACAGACTCCAAAAGTGTTATTGGAGAAAAGGAGATACCACTGAAATGCTGGGTTCATACTCATTAGGCATCCAGTTCTACACCCCGTTATCCTTTCTCATATCTGTTTGAAAGCATGTGAGTTTTCCCAATGTTATCACCACAAGGCTGTGTTTGCAAAAAGAAAGGTTTTCAAAGCCCTCCTAGGAAGTGACTTGTGAAGTGGTGAAGGTGCCATCCTGGAGGAATGGGACTTCATGGATGACAGGAGAACAGGACCTGCTGATTTGCCTTTGTATGGTGACTTTGTTTTGTCAAGCCCTAAGACACGCCTGCTTGCCTTGTGGAGAAATGAGGCCCAGAACGTGGAGTTGTAGGCAAGATTTACTTAACCAGGAATTCCTGAGCTGCAATTCCCAGGAAAGTGGCAGGTTTTGTGAAGTGTGTGTGTGGAGAGGGGGTGGGGTG